TTATTTAAAATGTTTTGCACGAGCATTCGTTCTAAAAAGAGGCAAACAGCAACTCCGAAGTGAAATTAAAGTCTGCATATGAGCCAAGTGGCCCTTTAGGTCAGCACTTATCCTGGTTTCTGTAGCATGAAGCGACTACGAGTATTTCTACTATCCCCGGATGGGATGCTAGTCCATCGCAGGGTTACCTTGCAATATTAAATTTGCCAGTACTTATTTATACACCTGAGTGGAAAGAGGCACTGTGAGAGTTAAGTGTCTTGCTCAAGAACACAATAAAATGTTCCCAGCCAGGGCTTGAACCCAGACTGCTCGAAACAGAAAAGAAATACAAAAATCAAATAACAGGGTGTTAACACAGACAGCTTAAAAATTTTAAAATGGATAATAATTAATTTTGATTGGAACTGGAACATTGTTACTATGATTATCAGTTGAGTACGGCACGACGGAAGTTTGGTGACGAAGTTTCGGACTTAAGATTACCGTGTTGTCACGAGCAACTTACCTCGTTTCCACTGGTAACAATATCAACAGCCGTGCGTCTCCTGTCGCGTCACCTACAATTTTGCGCGCTCTGCTGCTAATGACGTCAAAGGCCGACAAGTTGCCACTGGAAACGGAGCCAGTTGCTCGTGACAACAACACGATTTTCTCGTTAAGACCTGGTGACCAAACTTTCGTCGCGCCTTACTCAACTGATAATCGTAGTATCATACTAACTTGTACATGATGCAGTGTCAAAGAATAACAACAGTCTGTTTCAATATGAAATCACCAAATGAGAGTTCACCATATTTACCAGTCAGTCCAAAATTGACAATGTAATTATGTATATGAGTCAGCAGTGCATTTTGGGTCAAGGTAAATTGGTTATGGTCTTTGTTCAGTTAACATTATGAAACAGCTGTATAACAATGATTACTATTAGGCAAAAATTACAATACATGATTTTGAAATTTATTTTGAACATCAACTTGAGAATGCCAAGACTGCCAAGAGTATTTTGCCCAATTTCACTTATGTGAGACATGGATACTGGCAAAATCTTGTTTATTTTAAGCAAAGTCAAGCATAAACAATTTGATTGTAGCTCGTGGGTAAACAGGAAATCTATTGAAAAAATGAGTATTTCCTTCAATATTATAAGAATGATTTCAGACAGTTTTGTTTCAATCATGAACCTGAAGTGAAGGGAATGTTTTTATTTACAATTGATAAGGTTTTGTTTCTATAGAACTATGTCCATGGAGAGGAGGAAGGGAAGTAGCAAAGTTTTATACAAGGAGGCTCTGGCCCAAGGTCAAAGACTTATCCATTTAACAGTGTTTTTAACAGGAAAGGCTTTCCTTTCATATACATGTAGCTTCTAGCCTGAAATCCCTTTCACAA